GTGTGTGTGTGTGTGTGTGTGTGTATGTGTGTGTGTGTGTGTGTTTGTGGCGGGGTGGGGAGGGGGAAGGGATGAGTGAGACAGAGTTGAGTTGAGAGGTATTTTTTTTTAATTAAAAAATCCTTTTCAGGATGTTTTCAGGGGTGAGAGGGTATTTTCTGTAATGTTCTGTGTTGTTGCGATTGTTGTTGTTGTTGGGTTTCTTTTGTTGTTGCTGTTGTTGTCGTTGTTGTTGTTGTTTTTGCTGTTGTTGCTGTTTTGTTGTTGCTGTTGTTGTTGCTGTTGTTGTTGTTGTTGTTTAGGTTTTTTCTTTTGTACAAAATAAGATCAATTGAAATGAAGTACACTTTATTCATCTCCTTGTGGAAATCTGGGTGACAATGGCAAATGTACAGAATATTATATAATATAATACATGATATTTAACCACATAAATAATATACATACAAAGAATACTAAATGCACAATTTAAAAAAGTAATAATTCACCAATTTTCAAGATACGCCCGTTTCCGGTCGTCATTGATTTTTGTTTAGGTGTAGTTTGGGGTTGTTGGGGGAGGGAGAGAGAACTTTAATTTTGTCAGATAAATTGGAAAAACAAGTAAACAGAGATGAGGGATTGAGTCAGTCTTTTAGACTGCAGCCGTGAACGTTCAGTTGTTTGTTCATTAGACCTGACGGACCACTGCTCACCTTGGAAAAGTTTTTGTGTGTGGGGGGAGATTTTTTTTCTTTTGAAGTTAGTGTAAAAACAATAAAGGGGCTGATTGGTGGGTGGGGGGGGGCAAAAAAAATTAATAAATGAATAAACACAGCGAAATTTTAGAAGTGTCTCATCTCGAGAAGTGCTGAAGAGAAAAATCTCGACACTCTAACGTGTGAACAGATTAGATTGTTTTCGACTTTTCAGGCGGACTGGCCTTTAAAAATGCATTAAGTCGTGGTCTGACGCGGCGTCGAGAGCTCATCAAAGATGTATCCACTTGTTCTGTCGGTCTCCGGGGTACGGAAATGTCGCACGGTACAGTCAGCCTTATGAAGGGGTTAAATAGGTCTTGTTCTTGCTCTTGTTTTTCTAGTTTTTCTTCTTCTTCTTCTTCTTCTTCTTCTTCTTCTTCTTCTTCTTCTTCTTCTTCCCT